CAAACCTCGTGGAACTCACGCGCTCAGCGGTTTCTTGCTCTTCTAAGTAGTATAACATTCAACAGATCGAACTGATGGTCCTCAGCATCTGTGTGTACTAACATTAAAGATTTCTTATCGTGGCGACGAATGGCCAGGTTATGTACGTGCAGCCTTGTGCCAAGCTTACTTACAGGCTGGCCAATATAATACTTGTTGCAGTTCTTGCAGGAAATTTTGCAAACTACACCACATGTTTCTTCCTTACACACTTTGTCCTTTATCTTGAAAAGTTTACTTCGAATACTTTCCGTTGCTTCGTGTGCAACATTTATCCCGTGAGGCAAAAGAAGCCTCGCTGTCATTTCAGAAATCCCATAGATGTAAGGTGGGATAATCGTTCTTCTTTCTTTTGCACATGTGGACGCGGGTTGTGGCTGACTCTTCGACATCATACAGCGTAGAATAATGCTTCTTGGGCGCAAATTTCGCGGAAACATACTATATAGGTGGTCCTCCGCCTTCCTCAGTTGTGGCGTGCTATAGTGTTTCTGGGCCTGTTTGAAAGCGTCCTCACGCAACATCGCTTGTATATGGTCGGATGGCTACTGCGATAGTCTATGATCTGATCGGTGTGCGTCGCTTTCCGATAAACTGTTGTTTCCAGTGACCCAGAAGCATGTCTTCTCACGAGCACGTCCAATAATGGCAACCAGTCATTGTTCTCTTCCTCTGGTGAAATGGATGCCGGGAAAAATATTACTGTTTAGCTGATGTGTTTCTTGTAGTCTGGAGCGTTTGAGGATGACAAAAGCATCGTCTACGTAACGTGCCCAAAGTTTGAGCTCCACTATTGGCAATGCCTTTTGTTCCAAGGCTTGCATCACTGCCTCAGATACCAGTCCAGAAATTGGCGGTCCTGTTTGTAAATCCTGTTTATACATTTGGCCATTGAAAGTGAAATGTGTAGTGAGACAGAAGTCAAATAACTCCATCATTTGTGCGACTTCAATTCTGTTGCTGGTATTTACTGCTCTGAGTTCTTCAAGCAGAATCCCCATTGTTTGCCTTGCCAGAGTCGTGTCAGTTAATGTGAACAAAGCTGTAACGTCAAGGGAGACCATTATCTCGTCTCTTTCTATTGTTATTCCCTTAAGTTTTTCAAGGAATTATTCTGCCGATTGAATTGAATGCTCTGAGGCTATGATTAGGTTTTTCAACTGTTTCCAAAGTTCTTTAGACAGCTTGTAATTTGGTGCCCCGGGTAATGACGCGATAGGGCACAACGGTACCAATTTTTATGTTGCTTGTTTTAACGAATTTCATACCTTAGAAGCTTTACTGTTTGCTGCCTGATGTCGAGTAGCCAGTCATAACACGCTTCTACATGTGCAACAGAAAATGAACCATTATTTTACGTTACATTCATGGGTTTTCTGAAATGGCAGCGAGGCTTCTTTTGCCTCACGGGATAAATGTTGCACACGAAGCAACGGAAAGTATTCGAAGTAAACTTTTCAAGGTAAAGGACAAAGTGTGTAAGGAAGAAACATGTGGTGTAGTTTGCAAAATTTCCTGCAAGAACTGCAACAAGTATTATATTGGCCAGCCTGTAAGTAAGCTTGGCACAAGGCTGCACGTACATAACCTGGCCATTCGTCGCCACGATAAGAAATCTTTAATGTTAGTACACACAGATGCTGAGGACCATCAGTTCGATCTGTTGAATGTTATACTACTTAGAAGAGCAAGAAACCGCTGAGCGCGTGAGTTCCACGAGGTTTGGCCTTCTGGCCGGAACTCAATCAACAAATACCTGGAGCTGGAGAGTGTCTACGAAGATCTGCAGGTTGTGCGAGCAATAGGCACCAGATCGACAAGGAGAAGACATGATCACTCGGCCGACTCAAGTGAACCAATCGAACGGTGACATTTGAAGCAAGTAACAATCAATAGTCATTCGGATCTGACAGTGGTTTGTGAGACTCCGTGAGTCAGGCCTGAATAGCCATACTGAAGATGTTGCCTTGTTTAGTAGCGAAGCGTCTGCAACAGAATTGCCCGGCTCGGAGAACTAGCCAATGCTCTCATCCACACCCCGCGCTACAGGTATTCTCCATCATTTCCAAACGTTCATGGTACTGACGACGGAACACGAGTTAGGCACGGTTTTGTGTTGTATAGCAGTGGGTTCCCGTTTGACAGCTTTGCTGTATGCGTATGACGCTGCTTTATGGAGCGAAGTTCCCAAGCGGCGTGGTGGTGCGGGCTCACGCTAAAGGGTGGATGGGCGGGAGTGGCACTGCTAGCTGCCTTACTACGATTTAGGGAAATAGAAGCTTTGCTTGTGTGGAATTTCTGCAGTGCACACCGAGCTGAAAACGTAAAGAAACGATGCTGTGAGTTGAAGTCGTCCCTGGCCTTATTTCCAATTGACTTACATCACTCCTGCAGCCACTGGGTGTCCGTCCCAATAAGCCCTTTAAAGATGGGCTTCGGGCCAGGTGGATTAGTGGATAGCATCGTCTGATTTATCGTTGATGGTGTCATTTCGAAAAAGGTTAACATTGCCACAATTGCGGAGTGGGTAAAAGATGCGTGGCTGAACCTTTCGCCAGAAATTACCGTCGGCTCACTCAAAAAGTGCTGCGTGCTTTACGCGGTTGATGGGAGTGAGGACGATGCCATTTTTCATGATCAGCACAATGATGAGAGCAGCGAAGTTGAATATAATGATATTCTCCCTGATGTCCCAATGACAGACGACCACTTCTAAAAACTGTTTAGAGATTCTGACAGTATCTAGTTTTGAAGGATTTGAGTAATTGTTTGGATATGAAAGCCTATTGAAGTCTACCGGTAGGTGCTTTTCTGTCATGTCTTTCCCATGTCATTATGTGTGTGCTGGTGTTTGATCCTGTATACTCTCGTATGTTTCTGTTACTACCATCCTTCTCGAACCTAGTGTGCAATATGCCGAGAATATTCGCCACAAAAAGTGACTTGCATTGTTATAGGCACTTCAAATCCTTGTCTAGAATACCGCCAGTCACTAGGGGGTGGAGAAGAGTATAGGTATGCAGAGAATTCTTGTGTTGATTTCGCCTGCGACTTTGTTCGAATTGCGTATAGTCCCCTACAAAGATTAACTTTTCGAAAATGTCGGCTTTTATTCGGTACTTACTGGGATGTACTCAGCTGGCTTTGTGGGAATGGACGTGGTTTCAGCTGAGGGACCACCGTTGCTCTGAAAAATATGTAAGTGGGTAGACTCAACGGCCGCTTGGATGGACAGTGTTCGTGCTAGGCTGTACTACGATATTTCGAGGGTTGCACTACCAGTGCATTGTGTTTATGCTGTGTTATCAGGTCTACAATTGGCGCCCAAAATAGCTGTATTCGATACCTTCGGACGGTATGCGACAATGACCTGCTAAAGAATACCTTTGACAGGTGATGAATTTCTCGAATTATATTAAGCTCACTTACCAGTGCTTCTAAGCTGCGTTGCTCGGTAAAACTCAGTCTGACCATATGGGGTACATAGCGACTTTCCTAGGCGATTTTGTTTGAGTTTGGCAATAGGATAGAGCTTTGAATGGCATAGGAGTGATTGTAAATATGTTAGAACTAGTTTTTGAGGATCTGCAAAAAGCAGCTTTCAAGGGGACTCTTCTATTGGAACTATCATTTAGCTAGATTGAATTATGGGGTATCGCATAAGAGCCCGCAAGTCATTATTGGAGAGTCGGTGGGTTCTACCGTACTAGGGGATTGGGTTGTATTGACTTTCGCAGTTAGACACTTACTTTGAATTTTATAACTGAATTTCTTATGTTTTCTAGTATTTGAAGGTTTCTTTTCTGCATGGTTAGTTGTCAACACAGAGGGTAACAAATTCAGTTAGTGCTTCAGCCGGACTAGTTTCCGAGCTGATGTAGTGAGGAGCTACTCCCTCTACTTTGACTTCACTTTGGCTAGTATTTTTATATTCTGACTGACTGCACTACTCGTGCTGCCACTTAACTCAGATTGAACCTCAAAAGTCTTGGTAGTGACTATGTCTCGAAATCAGCAATAGTTGACTTCTCCTAACTTCATTCTGCAGCAGCTTTTTTCTATCGTTATCCTCAGTGTTTTAAAAGTGGTACTTTCTGATATATGCTGATTAAATCGTTTGCTACCGATGAATCAATGTGGTGAAAGAGTGCGAGGCGGCTTTTTTGCCGATTCTTCTTCCGGAGCCTCCCACATTTGCACCGAGTGCTTTCCGTATTACCTGCCTCGAGCTCTATAATTGATGCCACATGCAGTTTATTGAGTAAATTGCATGTTACTGCATTTTCCGAACATCATACTCTACACTTCTCTAAGGTTTGAGATGAGCCCCATTTGTGTTAACCATCTTTTGCAGCAGGACACTCAAAGGTTCAAATGTTTTACGGGTTGTCTCCAAATAATCAAAAGAAGCTATTTTTATTTTGATCCCATCTAGCCCATATAAGATAGACTCGAATTACATAGATCAATCGGTTTACCCGAGTGATCTCCCAGTCCAGTTCGTTTTGCGTGTCATTTTTATTCACTTTTTGTCCTTTTCTTTAACTTCCTTGGTACTTCCTTCTCACTCCCATCATCGTTGTCAATTACTTTTGTCATGGCTCTGCGAGTCATGACAGCCGGGTCCGCTGCACTTTACCTCTCGTATTCAAGCCGTTCTTTTGAGTCGGACTGTTTTTGGTTACGCATTTCCGTTCACGCCCCCTCGGTTCTATAGCACTGGTATGAACAAACCTGCTATTTCAGTAGTTCAAGGAGTAGTCACTTACGACTCGGAGGTCAAATCTCTATTTGATCGTGTTGGTGAGGAAACTAAATGCGTGTACTACTTGTAACCGCAATTGGCAACATTCAACAGATTTCTCTCTCCTGATCAATGACATTTTTCATGGTAGATCGGAATAAAAAAACCGCTTATGTGTATACGTTTCTGCATCAACTTCTTTTTTCTTCTTTATCAGTCAATGAGTCAATCGGGTTTTATGCGCGCCGTAATATGCCTAGCTCGGTTACTCACCAGCTATCAAAGCTTATTTCGCTCCAGCATTCTCGATTCTCCCCATTGGTACTTGCAAATGATCACGGACATCGTTGTTGCGGTGATCGATCGTCTGGAGAAAGGTACGTACTCTCCCAATGTTGCAATTTTATGCGGCATTGTTTCTTTCCTATGTGGTTGTCTGTTTTAATTACGGATCATATTGATATACTCTACCGGCGAGGAATAATCAACAATCTCCTGATTCGACGCTTGATGTCACCCAAACACGGTGTATGGCCTGTCGCGAAAGGGTCACGACAACTTGCCGCAGTTACTCATGCTCCCCTCAATTCGCAGTCACCGGTCTGGAATTTCATGTGAAGACCCCCCTGTGGCCTTCCACCTCACACGCGACCGGCTTTGACTGCGTGGTTGCACAGCATCGGCACTAGGTTTCGACAGTTTGTTTATGGCTACTAGTTGCGTACAGTGATGTTTCTCTGCTTCTACTTTTCTGTAAACCTATTAGATTGAATTTTTTTTGCACTTTTTAATGGTTGTGATACGAAACGAGAACAGTTCAGCTGGCGTACACCATACAGACGTCGCTTAACTGATTCACTTTCTAGTACCCTGGGCGAATTTAATTGCGGCTTTTGGTACCCCTGACCGCGCTTCAAGCATTCTCTGTTCGTTCGCATTAAGATGATCTTCCCCTGTTCTGTGCCATCCCGGTCAAATTCGGAAGTCAACAAATTAACGCGAAAAGGTGTTGTATGACTATTCACTAAAATAATACAGGTGGTGTAAAGGCCATGGATATTTATGCGTCGATCCAAGGTTGTTCGAGTTCTGGAAAAATTAGGTCAGTCGCCAGTAGTAGCAGCTTAGTTCCGCTCCGACCAGTGAGAGCTACGTGTATGTATTCCTTGATGAACCTGGACATTATAGAAAAGGTGAAATAACGAGTTTTCTGTGAGATTGTACTTCCCTCAGGGAAGATGCACCGAAGTTTTTTCACCCCTTCTTTTTGATCCAAATCAGATAAATTATAATGGTAGAACTCTCACTTACAATGATAAACATAAATCTGGTATGAGGTCAAGTACTGGCATGACTGGATGGCTGTTAGCACAGTAACAACACGCGCACCGGAAGTGAGTCAACTTAGGCCGCGACGTCGCCAGGCCGTGTGTGGTGAGCGCCATCGCCTATCAAGTAACTGGACGCATGACACCAGGGCAACAGTGAGACCGTCACCCTGTCAGCGAAGCTGCGTTCACTAGATATGTAACTTTGAATAGCCTGCCGTTTTGTACCAGCTAGACTTTGATTAAAGCCCAGCTTGACTTTTCGCGCTTTTCGAGAGCAACGTTACCATTAAGGTCGTCAAATGTGTGGCAGTTAGTGGCAGCTGATGTGGTTGATCCCGAGGTTTCCATCCCTGAGGAGGACACGCATTAATCTTATTTCAAGTTTGTGCTGTATTTCTACGTCATTACCTGGCCACCGCAGCGTTTCACTTAATTATGCAGGATATCGGAACATAGCTGACTGACATGCGAAGCGCTTGACCTATCCAGCATAACCAGTCAGAGTTCATTGAGCACTTGATGAACTTCGTTGTTGCCCACCTTGTGCTTCCGCCAGATATATTGTGGCTATCAGTGGTCAAACAGCCAGTCTCCTAATGTTCTCAGTGTACAGCAACCACTTCTCTCAGCCATGCAGCAAAATGCTGCAATTTGGTGCTGTAATACTAATAATGCTAATATTAATAAAAGTACATTTCTCACCAAGTGATAAGCTACGTCCATATTTGGCACAGCTTTGTATGTATGTAATATTTCTCGATTGTGCGAGTTACAGTCCAAAAATTGGACTGTTCATATGGCACAACATGATCTCAAAGTACATATGTTATTTCAGATTTACCGCAAGAGTTCAAAATTAGGTACATGGGAGTTCAAATGGTATAAATGGTAAAAAGAAAGGTTAGAAGCAGGATGAAATTGGTTAATGAAAACCATTGTATCTTCTGTAGGTTGAAGTCACCAGCAATTACCTTTTGTCTATGTGACGTCTCAGCTGCTGAAGTGATACGGGCAACGATCGTGGCTGGTGGGTTGTAGGTATATTCAAGCAAAATGTAAACTAACGATTCTGAGACGAATAAGCAGATATTCTGTCACACTCACTAGTTGAGAATATTCAAGCAGTTCAGCGATCTTTTCGAAAAAGTTCATGGTTGGGAGTCCTCGGAGTAGAGTGTATCTGAGGAGCATAACGTTTCGGTAACGAGGATTGCTTGCAGCTCGTTGAGGTGTACAAACATGCTTAAGAAATGCATTTTGTTAATAATAATAACAATAGTAGTATGTATATTTCTCGATTGGGCGAGAAGCTGTCCATGCATTGGGGACACATCGTGAGTACAGTACTGATCATGCTGACGCATGAGTGTGATATTTCTTCTGGGGCGACATCAAAACATTTTGATACACAACTTATCTTGTTGTTGTTGTTGTGTATTATATAACATCTTTTCTCACTGGTTATCTGTTTCTTTGTCCATATTAGAAAATCTCATTTGGTGATTCACCCGATTGAAACGTGGGGATTTTCGAGTTCTGGTTTGGTAAATTTCTAACCTGAATGCGGAATGTTCTTGCATTTGCTAGGCTCTTCACTGCGATAACGTATCTACCGAGAGGTTTGATAGAATACCTGTCCTGGTTCTCGGCGCAATTAGTTTACAATTTTTGTTTTCTAGTTTCCGACTGAAACTATGTTGCAATATTAGTGTGCATAGATTGGGATATGTCTTTTGGGTTATGAAATTGTGTATCAGCATCAGGCTGTGTTTCGATTGTCGCAACCAAAGGGGCTCGAGTTTAAGCTGCTTTCAACGCTCCTGCTAGCTTACAGAGGACAATTTGTTGAAAAAGCGAATGATCTCTGCAGGTTTTCCTGAGCTTTCCTTTCAAGCGTACGCGTTCCCCTAGATGGTGCTGCAGTATTCAAAAACAAGCAGCTCGATTCTGGCAGGCATTATATAGTTTCTATAACATGGTAGCCGCAGATCGTTTAACTCACGCTATTTGAGATTCAGCTTCCTCTCATAAATAGACGTTTGAAGTGTATCGTCGTGTCTATACCATTTCTCACTTGCTAACATCCTTAACTTGATCGCTTGCATCCTTAGTGCAGAAGCTATCATTCATAGTGCAGAAGCTTTCCTCTTTAATGCAAACGCTATCATCCGATAATCATCACAATTGCATCCACGTAGCACTGCGTTGGCAGAGGCTTCCAGCCAATAGAATTCGGTATAGCGTAGAGACTGAACACGGTTATGCGCAGATTACTCACGCTTTCGGATGTGGGTAGGAAAACTAACGTGGTCGAACTGAAATGGACGGCAATTGAGACTTTACTAAACGGAGCTCAACCGGTGCGCAGTGTCCCGCGCGCTTTCACTGGACAACGGAGGTGTTTGAGACATCCATTGGAGCGCGCACAGTCCCTGAGGGAAGGGGGACGCGTGCGCTCAGAGAACCGGGTATAAGCCTGAAGTGTAGTCAAGCCCCTTTTGTAAATGAGCTTTGGAGATGTCTGAGGCTAGGGCGTAAGTGATGCACGCAGGACAACAGTGCACAACCTTGGCTTGGTACTAAAAAGGTGCTCTAAACAAGAGGCGCAAATAGGTTGCCTCGTTTTGGTGGGCATTCAGGCTAGTTCGGTCCTATAGTTGAAGGCACAGTAGAAGCTACCGTCTGCCCTCGAAGTCAAGTTGTCCGTAACATAAGGAGCGGAACGCTCTCCGTCGCAGCAGAATGGATACCAATCACTACACGTAACTTCTTTCTTTATGCGATGAAATATCACTTTTGTGACGGATCCATAGGTTTAAGTTGAACGTGGGGTAGAAGGTAATCATATTCCAAACAACTCGCCCCCTAAGAAGCACACAAGTCAAATCTGATCGAGGTAGACAGGACAGCTCCCGGGTGGAATGATATAATCACCAATGAATGGATGAAGGAGGCATGTGATAGATGTTTGCTTGCAGCCATGCAATTTCCTTTCAAAGGATATGTGAAACGGTGAATTACATTACTTTCCTCCTTTTTCCGCAAGTACGCAGACATGTAATATTTTGTTGCGAAAGGATTACACTACAAGCAGCTGGTCTCGTGAAATATGGGGGTATTGCGAGCCGGTGCACTCTACGACAGTGGTCCCCAACCTTTGTATCGCCGTGGACCGGTCGGCGTTTGATAATTGTACCCCGGCCCGCTGAGGGGGTTTGTTGAACGTTTACATTTTAAATTGTTCTGAATGAATAACTTTAATGTAATTCATTTTGAACATGCCTTGAAAATAAAATCCAGTTACACCAAAAAGTAGATATAAAGTGATGTCATACGTTGTCTCACTAGAACGCTAAATTACGGACAACCATGAGCGTGTTCCTGTGTAACGAGGGTGCTCCATCTGAGGAAAATAGGAGACAACGACGCTTCATGTGTGCTGCTTAGGTCCAGTCAATTTGGTTGCTTTGTTTCGGCTGCTGACACTACAGAAAATCCCGCTTCACACAGTAAGGTCGTCATAAATTGCAATCTGCACATTTCGGTTCACCAAGCACCACAGTTTCCGATAACAGTTCGCAATTTATCTCCGAAGAATTTGGTTTTCTTGACAGTGTAATTGTAGCCAACACTGCCGGTCGCCTCCGGGGCATATCCAGTTCAACACGTAGGCAGAAAGAATCGTGTATATCATTAAACATTTACTTCTAAGGCTGTTGTAGAATGACCCACAGAGGAGGTCATACAGCTGTTCCTGTTAAATAATTTGGGCTACGCAAAACCCCGATATACCAGGCGGCAGATCCCCAGCGGAAGCCATTTTCGGGCATGACACACGTCCTCCAATTAATGCAGTACTCCCTAAGGTTACGCAACGGCTACTGGCGTCAGGCGTGAACAGATGTTTTCTACTAGGGGAGCCGGTGTACGCGTTGGATGCATGGCCGAACCACCAAACCTGGCAACCTGCAGTGGCACGAAAAGGAAGATTCTCTGTGCTGCACGTGGTGTCTGTCGGAACGTTTTCTGTCCTACGACACGTTTTT